GCATATAGTAAATTGTTCCAATGGTTAATTCTCCTCACTATTAAAAATTAGTTCCTTATTTCCAGCCTAGATTTGTCTCACTTCACCTTGCAGCCACTGGACCTTGTTCTGCCTTTGTGAAATTAAAGAGACTTTCGTCATCTGTGCGCCGTGATCAAGTCACCTGTTTGCTTTCTCTGGGAGAAACTAAATAAAGTGAACTCTCTTAGTCCTGCTCTGTGCGGCAGCTTATCCTTGGATTGTCCTTGTCACTCTTTTCCGAACCTTCCCTTTCAGTCAACATTGGCACTGGTGAGATGGATACCGGAGACTGCGCCTCCTTGTGGTTGCCACATGGTAAAAAGGATGGTGGAAATTGGAGAAAGTGCAGAAAAGAGACACAAACATGATTTAACGGCTGGAGAAAATACCTGGCAAGAAGAGACTGAAGGAGCTCAATCTGATCACAAAGGATCAAAAGGTGACTTGGTGACAGTGCACCAGTGTAACCTACACCCCTCCTGGTGTATATCAGTATATCTAGTGGCACCGAGACCACTTAGAGAGATTAATGAGTTTACTCTGCAGCCTTAGCTAACAGCCAGTTGGCTTTTGGCTCATGCAGTGGAGGCTCATCTATTAAACTACAGAGGGCCCTGGTTCAATCCTGCCCGCCGACGACCAGGGTCTGTTGGCGTTACACAAACACCTTCACAACGAGAAAATACTGGCTATTAGAGGGCTCTTTGACCTAGTGGAGAAAGCAGGACCGGCTCCAGGCACCAGCCCACCAAGCTTGTGCTTGGGGCGGCACCTGGAGGGGGGCGGCGCGGTGCTCCGGCTTCAGCTGCTGGGGAGAGCGGGGCCACGGCCGGGACTTGCCACCCTCCCCTGCCGCGCTGGGGGTGGGGGGGCCGGAGGCTTTTTTGCCTGGGGCGGCAAAGAAGCCAGAGCCGGCCCTGGGAGAAAGGCCGAACAAAAAAAATCAGTGGATGGAAGCTGAAGCCAGACTAATGTAAAATTAGAAATTACGGTCAAATGGCTGATTAATCATCGGAAGAAAGCCCCGGGAAGTGGTGGATTCTCATCTCTTGATGTCTTCAGACTCAGACTGGCTGCCTTTCAGGAAGGTGCTTTAGCAAATGCAAATGATTGGGCTCAATGCAGGGGTAACTGGGTGAAATGCGATGGCCTGTTCTACACATGAGGTCAGACTAGATGATGTAATGGTCCCTTCTGGCCTTAAAGTCCTGAAACTGTGAGTCAACCTGTTCGAAGTGTGGACACCAAGCTGGTCCTGGTATCCAGTGAGGGTCTCATCACTGCCATGTAGAGATGACAGCACCTCTTCGCTTCCTCTTCCCCTGTTCGTACCTCCAAGGAACGCCTTCACCCTCTCAGCCGCTGCATTGCTCTGGAAGCTGGGTTTCACAGTGACCCATAGTCCTTTGCAGAGAGCTGGGGCAGTGGGAGTAGAAACCATGGTGGAGGAATGAGAGCTGAGGAGTTTGTTGAGAGGCAGGAGATTCAGGGGAGCCGGTTTAGCATGGGGAATAGAGTCATGCCTTGTGCAGCTAAGCGGGAGGGAAAGGAGCCAGGAAGAGTGAGGAGATTGGGGAAGAGAGAGGGGCCAGTGGAGGGGATGACCCATAACAGCAGCCAGGAGGAGCCTGGTGGAGAAGCCGTGCTGGTGGAGGATGACTGTAAGGACAGCTCAGAGTTAGTGGGGCGGTGAAGGAGGTGAGGAGGGAGGGATAGTGGAGAGCTGTTGTGTGCTGATAGCGCAGGGGCGTGGTTGAGCTGAGTCCAGATGGAGTGCTGGTGGGGAAGGGGGTGAGACGCGGCACAGGATGGGGTAAACAGCACCAACCTTTTCACGAAGGGTTGAACTACTCCTTGGATTAACACCATCTTCCCTTCACTCAGGCCTCCAAAGATGGGTCCAGAAAAGGGGACAATCTGGAAGAAACCACCCCACAGTTTTAAGGGCAGCAGAGGAATCATACACTAGTCCCATGCCCCCAGCTGCACAAGCCCTGCACTGGCCAGTGGGGGGTAGTAATTTTCACAGGGCCCTACTGCAGGCGTT